GTAAGGAGAAAGAAGGAGGTGGGGCTAGCCTAATTAGATGAACATATCCCCTAGAGGGCACATGGGAGAGGAGGATCTCTTATCCTTTGATAAACAGGAAAGGAAGTGAGACTGATAGGGACCCCACAAGTATCAGTCCAACAGTAGGTTAGAACTTGAGAACAGAAGAACTAGAGATCAAAGTCAAAAGGGATGGACAAGCTTCCTTGGCATCTACTTCTAAACCAAAATTCTATGAGTCAGAATTGACTTGATGGTACAGTGTTTAATTAATTAATTAGGTATTAAGAAGCAAAGCTTGGAAGATAACACACAATTAATTAGGTGCTTGGTGTTGCAATTAGGTGCTTGCTGTTGCAAGTAACAGGATTTCAACCAATGTATACCAGCGTACAAAAATGCATATTTGGTGCACTGCAAATTGTAGAAACACTAATTTTTGTAGCAAAAAAATCCAGTGACAACGTTTCAGTACCCACTTGCTAAAACCAACAGAGCATGAGATGCCCTTCAAATTACTTTTCATGTAATTCCATGGGTGCTATGGAATTCTTTAAATCAGATTCACAGCATTCTATGTAAAGTACAACAGGATGTAAACCTGGATGTAAACCTGGTTTCTGTTTGCAGTATAAGATAGGCTGCAGTTACACCAGCAAAATGTTTCTGAGTTATTCCTCATGGATAATGACCCTTTTTTTGGGGGGGGGGTGTTTCAGATGATGCAAGGGTTATTGATTATTTTGTTCATCCTTCGTGCTTTCTCCACATCAAATCCAGCCCACTGAGAAGCTAGTACTATAATTTGTTCTGCGCCGTGAGTACAACCAACATTCCATTGAGTATGTACTTCAAACTCAATCTATTTCCTGTGCATATGGCATGTAGCCCCACCTCCCTTATCCACTGTTGTTCAACTCCCTTAATTTTTTTAAATAATAATTTCCAAATGAGAAGATTGGCATGTTGGTATACTTTTGTCAAATACGGAGTATCAGTCCCTCTACTGTGGGTTCTCCTCCATAGAGGGTAACAAAGCATGGAAATAGGAAGAAATGGCTCAGATAAGTATGTGGCCAGCAAGGGCTTTTTGCTGACGCAATGATGTACCAAAACATTTTTAAGAGGGCAGAGAAAGGGACAAGAAAAGGGAGGGGATATGTCTTGCTTGAGTGGTGCAGACAAGTATACCACATCTAATTCACCCCAAAAAAGTGGAACAGCGAAAAAACATATGAACCGCTATCAGAGAATATATGCCAGATGATCACAACACATGACTATATAGGAAGCAGAAGAAACAAGAAAGAAGCAGGACATTTCTTCTGTGTGACAATGACCATATCTGCAGAATGGGAATTAAAAAATAGTACTTGGAATCTGTCATGTTGATAACTCAAATACATGAATTCAGAATGTGAATTCAGTTTAATACTGTATTATTCCTTTGGAAAATGTTTATCTCTTGAACAACATCCTGAAATGTGATGCAGTGCTGATGAAAAGACATTCCTGCTATGATTTGTAAGAGTTCCCACTGTTCCCCCCACCCAATAAGATTGAATATTCCTAATCAGGTTCTGCTCAGGTAAAGGTAAAGGTTCCCCTTGACATTTAGTCCAGTCGTGTCTGACTCCAGGGGGCAGTGCTCATCCCCATCTCCAAGCCGCAGAGCCAGCGTTTGTCCGTAAACAGTTTCCATGGTCACGTGGCTAGCGGGAGTAGATACAGACTGCTGTTACCTTCCCACTGTGGCGGTACCTATTTATCTACTCGCATTTGCATGCTTTTAACTGCTAGGTTGGCAGGAGCTGGGACTAGATATCTTCGCGACTAGATAGGCGGGATATAAATAAAATAAATAAAAATAAATAATAAAGCGACGGGAGCTCACTCCATTGTGTGGATTCGATCTTATGACTGCTGGTTTTCTGACCTTGCAGCACAAAGGCTTCTGTGGTTTAACCCGCAGCGCCACCACGTCCCTCTGCTCAGAGGTAAGCCAAATATTTTAACAACATTCTGGAGTAGAGGGCTTAGTGTGAGAACTGTTGTGTAAGGTGCTTCATCACCTTTTTGACCAGTTGCACTTTTGCTCTCTAATACAATTAAGTGGAATGTCTTTTTTTGAGATTATTTTTCTCACTGCACATTATATGCATGTAAAATAAGAATTCCTAAAACCCTGACTAGTATACATCTGCACTGGAATTTGTCTTCTAATATAAAACATCATTTATTCATCCTCTTGTGGTCAGTTTACCAGGGCAGTCCAATGAAGGACTGGTAATACACTAGTTAATTATTAGAGAAAGATCCCCAATGTTATTGACCAGCAGTTTTTCTGAACCTCTATTACAGCATACAGTGGGGTCTTGACTTACGAACGGCCCAAGTTACGAACATTTTGACTTACGAACCGCTCTCATAGGAAAATATTGACTTGACTTATGTACTTAGATTTGAGTTACGAACTGAAAAAAACCACGTGGGAGGCAGGGAAAGTGCAAAATTTGAACTTTCAGTTAACTGTTGGCCAGTGAAAAGGGTGCCTGTCTGCTTCCTCACTCCTCCCAGCGTTTAGAGAGTGGATTGGGAGTCTTCAGACTGCCTGGTACTGCCTGGACTGTCTTTTCCCTGCCTTCCCTGAACCTTTCTTGACCTAAGGAAAAAAGAAACAAAATATCCCCCTCTAGTGGTCGAAGGCGGAATAGCAGCTTCCCATTAGTTTCTATGGACGGAAAAGAGCAGCTACGGATCAAATGGTTTTCAATGCATTCCTATGGGAAATGCAGATTTGACCTGCGAACCTTTTGACTTGAGAACCGCCTTCCAATACGGATTAAGTTCTCAAGTCAAGACCCCACTGTACTTATGTTAGCAGAACTAGAAGTACAGTAGAATCACTATATCCATGGGGGATCGGTTCCAAGCTTCACCCCTTCCCCTGGCAAATGCGGAAAAATGTGGCTTATAGTAAATGCTATAACTATACACAGAATGGGCTCGGGCTGCCTTTAGTGGCCAGTTCTGCTAATGACATCATGGAAATATATTTCCCTAGTGAATACTACACATAGTGTGGTATCTGTCTTTCTCTAGTGGGCATTTTGGCTAACTTCACTATTAGAAATATATATTTCTAGGATTTTTCTTTTAATATTTTTAATATTTTTGAGACTGTGGATAAGTGAATTGTGGGTACTGATCCTGCGGATAAGGGGGTCCTAAGGCATTATGCCTTTAACCTCCCTCTTATTATTCTCTCTTGTCAGGATTTTGTTATTTTGTTTGAACAGGTCATATGACAAAAATAAACTTAGACTTGACTGGTTCTTTCTCAACACAGACATATCAGAGTGTGAGCAGGATCTATTTACTGAAATCCCGTTGAATAAACACGTAAAGTCTGATGACTCAACAAGATTTCAGGCACTCTTTCCTGTTCCTGCCCCCGTGTCAACATCCTGAAGTCAACTTAGAGTGAGGGCAGGAAAGATCAGCAGTTTCTGCATCCTTATTCTGCCTTATGCTGTGTAGGAAGGAAGCTGGAGTTAAAATAGGATCCTGCAGCAGCCAGGAGCCAGGACAAGCCTACAATATATAATTCTTTCTATCCTAATTATGAACAAAATACAAATATGTATAAATCATATACACAGTTAAACACCATTCCCAAGGTCTTATTCTGCTATATGAGGAATGGGCTGCTTTTAATTGTTTCCTCTTCTTACCTATTGAGGGACTTAGCTTGAACTGCAGGGAACGTATGTTCAGAGTAGCCAGGATAGATTTTGTATCCACCAGGGTTTGATCCCCAGCATCTCTGCCATGTGCTGAGAGAATAGCACACATGCTACAGTACTTGATGCTGGCTGACCTCAGATCTCCACAGGAAAGCGCACTGCCCTGACAAACAAAAAAATGGGGAGAATGAGAATCACACGATTAGGGAGTGCTGAACAATTCAAATCTCAGTTAAGGCATACATGTGGAAACTGTGAAGTTTCTTCAGAGGACCGTTGAGTTGCCTTGGAATTGAGGACCCTGAGGAAAATCCCTCCTTTCTTTTATTTCCCACTGGAAATAGGAAAGCCATAAAGCTTCAAAGTAAGGAATAGATTTCTCTATTAAGGATAGAGAATGTTAAGGAACATTTTGTGGTTAGCAAGAGGCAATAGAGTGGACAGCAGAGGTGGGCACAAACCACAAAAATGGTGGTTTGCAGTGGTTCATGTCTACCCATGAACCTTCTGAACATTTTAAAAAAATGAACCATGAACTTTTTTTTTGTTTAGGTTCATGCCTGGGGGAGATGAAACTAAACCCCCACACCCACAGCCTGCTGCTTTGCCCCCTTCCCACTGCCCCATCTCCTCCTGTGGTCCTGCCACCACCACCACCATCTCCTCCATCACTGCAAATGCGGTATCTGTAGCAGCAGGGCCCCCATCTGGAGCTGTATAGAACTGGATCACTCACTTGCAACCCTACAGCCTGCCCCTGCCCCCTTCCCACTACCCCCATCGTCTCCCTACTTGGTCCTATCACCTCCTCCTCATCTTCCTCCTCCTTGTCCACCACTGCCACCTTGAGAGAGAGAGCAGTCAAACGTCCCTTCCACTGCTGTCTCTGTACCTACATTTGCCTATTAGGTGCATCTCAAAATGGCAGAGGAGGAAGAGGAGGAAGCAGCTCCACCAGATAGGGAGGCAACAGGGGCAGTAGGAAGTGGGTGGCTGTGGGGCCTGAGGGAAAACCCCAGGAAGATTGTTAAACCTCAAAAAAAAAAAGTTGGTGGTTTGGGTTGGTTCAGGTTCAACACTTTGATGAACCCAAACTAACCTGAACAAACAGAAGCAATGAAGCAGTGATTTTTAATGAACTTCCTGGTATGTTTTTTTTTTAGTTTGTGCCCATCTCAGATTCCATTTGTTCGTGTAGGAAAAAACTTAGGTCCTTCACTGGGCGAAAGGTGGCCTGCAAAATGATATAGCTAACTAAATAAATAATAAAAATGATATATTCTTCAAGCAATATTCCATCCATAAACCTATGAAATTCGACAGGTTCGGTATGAAAAACCAAGTTCCAAAGAGGAGCACAAAGACTGCTGGATGTGATGGCTGAGAACAAAAGTATCAAGGGTTAGGGCTATGAAAAACCTCACAGCTTATGAGGTTTTGCTTGAGATAGCCGGTCAGTGGTTGTCTAAGCTTTGTGAGAGGTCTCACCTCCATCATGAGATCAAGACACCAAGCACTTTATTGCTGCAACTTTTCACAGCTGCATAAAAATTCAAAGGAAAGTCAGGTTGATCAAACAGACACAAGCAACCCTTCCAGTGTTACTTCTGATCATGCATATAATTTGTATGCACTTACTCTAATGCAGAAAATTCAGTTTGAAAATGCAAAACATCTCACATTTTCCCAGTTAAGATTCAAAATGTGCACTTCCTTATTTACTGTGCAGGGACAAATCAAGTCATTACACCCCTGTCTAAGGTTTACTTCCTTCAAGGTTATTCTTCTCCATCTGGCTTCAGAGGTAACAAGCAAGAACCGCGAAACAAATGTGTGTCCTATTTTATTTCACCCAAAGGAGAGATCTTGAATATGGAACTGTGTACAGGCTGCACGTTCAGTGTATGTGCACCTTGTGGACCTCTCATATGCAAGAGCTCATTCCATTGGGACCATCAAGAACTGCCAGCTTACTGGGGAAATAAATAAGCATCAGGTTGGCTGAACCTGCCCATCTCTTCCAGAACCAAAGCATAATGCAAATAGATGTAAGGGGAATATAAACAATCTTTTCCTCGAATAAAGCAAAGGTGAATGACATTGAAGGATTTTGGAGTCAACGTAATGCTCTCCTGGAAATGATATGGGTCACACCTCTTCAGAACATGGGCATTTAGATATTTTTTTCTTTTGATGAAATGGCTGAAAGCCTATTTCCAGTTTGAAAAAATAAAATAAAAAAAGGAAATTTTAAGTAGAGCATGACACCACACTGTGTTGTAAAGGAAAATGGCCACTTCTGGTGTCTTCCAGACTGATTTTCCTTACTTTTAACATTTGTAAACAATGACCTCTCTCTCTCTCTTTCTCTCACTCTCTCATCTAGGGCAGTTGGGTGGGGCAGGGAATACAAAACAGGGATTTATGATCTAGGGCAGTTGGGGGGGGGCAGGGAATACAAAACAGGGATTTATGTGGATCATGGACCACATGATGCCTCCCACACTATAAAATATAATTTTTTCCATTTGGGCTGCAAAGTCATAGAATCTGTGTCCTTTTATTCATGTGTAATCTCATGGCAAAACACTCAATCGATTTCTGGCAATAAGTGTGCTTCCAAAGACACCTTGTGTATTCTCTTTAAACTATGCCTTGAGCACTTCGCAACTCTGTCTTTTTTCTCTTCAGTTCAACTGAACATCCTGTTTCTATTGACTGCGATGGTTTCAGATGACCCAAAATGAAAATCTTATGTTCATATGAGAATATATATCATGATCTCAGTATTAAATTAGATCCTTTCCACAGTATTATCTATTCTTGGGGTTTGCATTCAGTTTCATTATAGCTATTTTTGCAAACTATAAAACAAAGGAATTGGTAAGAAAAGACATAAGTTCCATAAAGATGTATACCTTCAGTATGTATAGTTTGGGGAAATTCTGAATGAATTCCCATTCCCTCTGTAGGTATTCCAGAGATCCAACAAAGACTATGTCCTTCAGTTCTTTGAATGTGAAGTTACTGGCTCGCAGAGGCATCACGAAGTTGCGCAGTCCGATCAATGTCGACGTAGCATCTCCAAAAACACAGCACACGATGTGATCACGTAGTTGAGTTGCTGTCTTCTTCTTGCGCTTCTATACAGGCCCAAACAGAACCATCTACAGAACTTTATTTTTATCTCAAACAGTGGTTCCCGACTGGTTCCCAACAGGTATTCTTGGACTGAAATTCTCAGAAACTTTGGCCAGCTCAGCTGGTGGTGAAGGCTTCTGGGAATTGCAGTCCAAGAACCCCGGAGTTCTTCAAGTTTGGGAACCACTGATCTAAAAAATTAACTCTAGGAAACCTTACACTAGGAAATAGATCCCTGTCACATAACATCAAATACCTGGCATCTTTTGTGGGCCTTGATCCAATCTAAAATTCCAATAACCAGGCCTGTGAATTACTGCTACAGATCTTTGGTTAATATACAAAATAAATGCAAATAGAGATCAGAGTTACATTTAACTAAATTGATTCATTCCTTTCTATTGAACCATTATAGCAAGCTAAACTGCTCTTTAATTTTGTAAAGATTCATTTTCTTTATTGTTTCTTGGGGCAATCAGGGACCCCTGTTCCCTTTTTCTAAAAAATAAAATAACAGAAGTGGTACGTAAGTAGAGCAACAACACAGTACAAGCCTTCTGTCCTCCTCCCCTTTTCCGTTCCCTCTTTTACCCACTCGTCCCCTTTCCCTTATTTCCCTGCATATATCTTCCTTTCATTTTTCTTTTCCATTTTGCACAGCATTGGCAGGAGGAAGCATATTGTGAATTTCGTTGTATGGTATACATTGGGAGGAGGAAGCATATTGTGAAGGGCAGGTTTTTTTTTAAAAAAAACAGAGAGTATATGTTAATGCTACTCCCCTTTATTTAAAGGGCAGGGTTTTTTTTTTTAAAAAGCAGAGAGTATATGTTAATGCTACTCCCCTTTATTTACAATTCAAAGCAGGAAATGTCTCTCTTTCAAGCCCCTTTTCATCCACAAGGGCGGATGGAAGGCTGTCTCCTTCAAGCCATCGCCTTCTGAACACTGTATTCATGTAGATGTACTTATATTTCTTTAACAATATTTAAAAGGGGGGGTACAAGTGGCCACAGCGTCCAACAACCTAACCCTTTTGCTAAGGAAATAAATTGATACAACATTCACATATGCCAAAACAATAAGGAATGGAGCGATACATCATTGGTTTATTACCCCCACAACCATCCTGATGAGGGGGTAATAAACCAATTGCTGGGGTAAATGAATTGATATTGGCGTGCATCATGTGATCAGAAAATTATGAAACAATCTAAACAATTGTCAAATTGGTATAACTGGGGTTCTTCTAGCAGGTATGATTGAGCCCTAAGTAAATGAGCAGACAGTAACTTTACCTCCTTAGAAAGCACAACATACAATTTTGCCTACTAGAAAATGAAAGCCATCTATAGATCCAGGAAGAAAGTAACTTTCCTGTCATTGGGTCTGTAATATTCCTTGGTTCTGGATTTGCTGCACACCTGACAGAGTCATGCTATGAGTGCCCATGTTGGAATGCTGATGGTGTTTATGACATGGCAAGGTGACTATTAACGAGGTGTGACTGAGGAAATCTTTGCCTGATTAGTACGTGGAATATGTCCACATTCCCAGTCAAGAGCTATCAAGCTAGTACATTCGTAAAGCAATCTCTTCACAATAGGTTTTCCTTGAGAGGGAAATAAAAGACTCATGTCAGGGGAACTTTGCTGATGAGTGATTAGAATCATAGCCAAATTAAATGATCATCTCTAACTAATTGGATTAGTCTAAATTGAATAATGAAACCTCAAGCTGTATTTAGTGAAAAGTGCCTTAAATCCAATTATTAGTCTGTCAAGTGGTGCTAAACAATGGAACTGATCCATTCTGTAACCTTTTAATAAGAACCTCTCTAGAATAGGGAAGAATAAAAAATGCATTTCATATACTGGAAGTGAATAGCATGAAGTCCTACAGGAGTGGGCTCGTGAGCATTGTACTGCCAGGCACTAAGACTGCTTCCAAAGTCTAGCTTCTCACCAGATTTTATAGATCCAGATTTATTAGTTATGAGACAGGAGATGATAACCCATGATCTACTAGAAATTGTTAGACTATAATGCCTCTGACTACAGGTATGCTGATAGGAATTAGAGTCCAACAATGTGTTCAGAGCTCCCAATTCTCAACCTCCAACTTAGGAATTCTCTGCCTTATGCAGCGTCAGACCAGCACTCCATATGTCTACTATTATCAACTCTGACTGGCAGAGTTTCAGGCAGGGTTCTTTTCTAACCCTCTCGAGCGATCCGTGGTATTCTCCATTGGTCTCCCATCCAAACACTAACCAGGCTGCAGACTGCTTAGCTTCTAAAACAAGACAACATTGAAAATGTTCAAGGTAGTATAGTGGGTTTTGTTGTTATTGTTTAAGCTTCCAAACTGTCCACAGAGTACAGTAGGACCCCCTTATCTGTGGGATCAGTATCCACTGATTCCCTTATCCATGTGCTGAAAATATTTTAAAAATTAAAAGAAAAATCCTAGAAATATATATATATTTCTAAAGATGAAATGATCAGATCTGGCCAGAGAGAGTGGGAGACAATACTATGTATAATGTTTGTTAGCAGAACAGGCCACTAGAGGGGGTTTCTGTGGGGCTTGGAACTGATTTCCTGTGGATACGCGGGTCCTACTGTACTGTGCATGCAGAATAGAGGGTTGTATCCACTTGTGCCCATTCCGCAGCACTAGTAGCGGAATGGATTTCCATATTCCTTGAATGCTCCCCTGATACTCTTCCAGAGGATAGCAGGACAGAGTATAGTATACTCTGTATACCGTGCAAAGCAGATGAAGGGAGTGTACAGTATGACCCTCTTACTTTGGGAAGGTAGGGAAGAAGAAGTATTTATGAGCAGAAATCTACTTGTGAGTTTTTTTTTATAAAGACAAAATATAAGTATAATGTGGAAAAGAGATGAAACTGACATATGAATGGGTAACTGCAATACATCCTCTTAAATAGACTGATCCAGCTATTCATGTCTACAGGTGTTGAAAGCATTAAATTTTGTCCAGAAAAAAAACTGTCATGCTATCTGCCTGCCTGCTTCCCTTTTTATATATGTCTACAAGACAAACACAAATATGTGTACATTTAGATTGGTACCCACCAAGGTAGCCTTTTGAAAACTAACAGCTTCACACCAGTGGAACATTCCAGTTGCATCCAGGGCAGTTTTACTGCGACGTTCTTCCACGATTTCTCCAGGTCTAAGTAGACAAAATAATGAATGATGCTTATTTGTAGTAATACAGCATTAATGATACAGATGGCACTTAAGAAAGAACGAGAGGACTTTAGTCTTGTTTCTAATCTAGAACTTGGCAGCAAGACAAAAAAAAAACAGAAAAGAGAAACAGATGGAGTCAGACGTGCAAAACAGAATACGTGATTTCATAGAGACTTAGCTCAACAGGGAAATGGGACTACTGCATTGTTCTAGAGGCTTCAAAGAACACCTATGTTCTGAAGATGGTGGTCACACAGATGTTTCTGGGAGTTGTAGTTCCAAAAGGCAACACTTCCACATTCTGGTTCTTTGTATGTAGGATAGGAAGTCATTTCAGAATACAGGAGACCTGCGGAGAGCTGATGGAGCAAGATGTGCACACAGATTGGGCCACATAAGGACTTAGAAAGTTACTTGGTAGAAGACCAGTGAATCCTTTTAGCCAGTTTAGTGAATTTCAGTATCTCTACTGAGGATATTGAGGAACATATATTATTTTATATTATTTTAATTATTATCACTTAAATTTGCCAATTGTTCATGTTTAATTTTGATTTTCTAACTGTTATGTTTATTGGCACCATGTCCCTAGGGGACGTGGTGGCGCTGTGGGTTAAACCAAAGAAGCCTCTGTGCTGCAAGGTCAGAAGACCTGCAGTCGTAAAATCGAATCCACACAATGGAGTGCGCTCCCGTCACTTGTCCCAGCTCCTGCCAACCTAGCAGTTTGAAAGCATGTAAATGCAAGTAGATAAATAGGTACTGCCACGATGGGAAGGTAACAGTGTTCTGTGTCTAGTCATGCTGGCCACGTTACCACGGAAACTGTCTTTGGATGAACACTGGCTCTGTGGCTTGGAAACAGGGATGAGCACCGCGCCCTAGAGTCGGACACGACTGGACAAACTGTCAAGGGGAAACTTTACCTTTACCTATGTTTATTGCTTTGAATTATTCTTGTTGTCGTATTTGTTTAATATGTAAACCACCCAGATTGGCCTTGGCAGCCAGATGGAAGTACAGAAGTCAAGTAAATAAAATAAATAAATAAACATAAAAAGGGAGAAAAAGCAGCCAGACAGAGTTCTGCATTCTAAGTAGTTATCTGTCATCATAACTATATATTTTTTAAAGTAATGCTTTTCAATATTTCAGTTTTGCTTTACATTTAAGTATGAATACTGTGAATGCACCCCAAACAAATACTGGAGTTCTACTCATTCCTACCCGAGAATAACCTACATGTGGCAATAGTAGGTGAGTGGGTGGGGACTCACACCAAAATAAGTGTGCATAGGAAAAATGCAAGAAGTTAGGCAGAGCATGTTGTTGCTTTCAGTGATTGCCAGGATTCACAGATAGACTTCCATCATAAATTCACAGAAATCATAGAATTAAAGAAATATGGAGTTGGGAAGGGCCTAAGGCCACTGAGTCCAACCCCCTGCTCAGTGCAAGAATCCAAATAAAAGTATATAATAGATGGTTCTCTAATTTTCTCTCAAAAGCCCCCAGTGTTGGAATGCTCATTATTTCCCAGTGTAATTGGTTCCATTGCCATACTACTCTAACAGTTAGGACATTTTCCTGATATTCAATTGAAATCTGTCTTCCTGCAAATTGAATTCATTATTATATTTGCTACACTCTGGGATGACAGAAAACAGATCCTGCCCCTCCTCTGAATTTTTTGCCTTTCAAGTATTTGAAAAGTGCTATCACATTTCCCCTGAGCCTTCTTTTCTCAAGGCCAAACATGCCCAATTCTTTCAGTTTTTCTTCATATGGCTTCATTTCCACCCCCCTGATCATCCTTGTTGTTCTCCTCTGAACCTGTTCCAATTTGTCAAGATCTTTTTTAAACTGCAGTGTCCAGAACTGGACACAGTATTCAAGGTGAAGGCTAACCAATGTCTAATAGAAGGGAATAAACACAGGATTCGGAGACTATACCTTTGTTAATGCAAAGATATAGAATAGCATTGGTCTTTTTTATGGCCACATCACACATTTGGCTCATTCTACAGCAATTCCAAGATTCTTCTCACTCATAGTATTACTAAGCCAAGTACAGTGGTGCCTCGTTTTACGATATTAATTCATTCCAGCGAAATCGCTGTAGAACGAAAACATTGTAAAGCAATTTTTAAAAGCCTATAGGAACGCATTAAAACCCGATTAATGCGTTCCTATGGGCTTGAAACTCACAGTCCAGTGAAGATCCTCCATAGCGCGGCCATTTTCGCTGCCCGTGCAGCGAGGAATCCGTCCCAGAAACAGCGGGCGGCCATTTTTTTTACCCGACGGCAATTTTGAAGCTGCCGATCAGCTGTGCAAAGATCTTCGTTTTGCAATAATCGGTTAGCGAAGCAGGTAACCGATCATCGCAAAGTGAAAAAACCCATAGGAAACATCGTTTTGCAATTGCTTTTGCAATCGCAAAAACTCCTTCATAATGCCATTTCTTTGTTAAACAAAGCGCTCGTCTTGCGAGGCACCACTGTATATTCTATCTTGTAACTGTGTTTTGAAGTTATTTTTCCTAAATGTAGAACTTTGCACTTACTCCTGGAAAGAGGGAACGTGCCCCTGTTGGTTCTGTCTCTCCTTTCCATCTAATTACAAGAAAGCCACCTTGTTTCTAAACCAGTTCTTGACATCAGTAATGGGCTGGATGAGGGCAAACCAACTGAAACTTAATCTAGACAAGACAGAGGTGCTCCAGATCAATTGGAAGGGAGAGAGGGAATAGGGATAGAACCTGTGCTGAAAACTCAGGTTCTCAGCTTCAGTGTACTCTTGCGTTCATCCCTGACCCTGGGTGCCGAGGTTATGGCAGTGGCCAGGACTGCTTTTGCACAGTTAAAATTATGCACATTCCTTGAGAGGTCTAACTTGGCTACAGTTATACTGTACATTCCACTGGATTACTGTAATGTACTCTGTATGGGGCTGCCTTTGAAGATGGTTCAGAAACTTCAGCTCATGCAAAATTGAGCAGCCAGACTACTAACAGGGGCCAGTTATAGGGAGCATAAAATGCCCAACTGCACTGGCTACCGGTCTCTTTCTGGTCTCAATTCAAAAGGGCAGGCATTACTTATAAAGCCCTATACAGTTTTGGTCCAGGCTACCTGAACGACCGTCTCTCCCCACATGAGCCTTTTCATCATTTATTTAAGCTCATCAGAAGAGGCTCTCCTCTAGGTCCCATTGCCACCCAGGCATGGCTGATGGGGAGAAGGCCTTCTCTGTGGCCTCTCTCAGGTAATGAAATGCTGGTCCCCTCCCTTTTATCTTTCCACCAACAGCCAAAGACTAATCTCTTCAGACAGGCATTTAACAGTTATGACTGAATCCCTGAATGCCTTCCTAGAGCCAAGATGTTTACCTGCTTTTAATTAATCAATTGTATTTCAATTAGCATATTGTTTTTAATCTTTAACATATTTTTAATTCTATTACTTTTAATATTGTGAGCTGTCTTGAGTCCCCTTATTGGGGGGAGAGGCGGCACAAATAAAACAAATCAATCAATTAATTAATTTGAATTTTGTTCCACTGTCTTGAGTCCCCTTATTGGGGAAGAGGCGGCACAAACAAAACAAAACAATCAATTAATTAATTTGAATTTTGTTCCTGTCTTCCATGGTATTATTGGCTTTTCCACCCAATTTTGTATCATCTGCAAATTTGAAAAGCAATCGCTGCACTCCTTCATCCAAGTCATTAATAAAAATATTGAAGAGCATTGGGCCCAGGACTGAGCCTTGCGGTACCCCACTTGTTACCTCCTCCCAGTTTAAGAAGGGACCATTGAGAAGTACCCTCTGAATATAGCACCTGACATTAGTGCTATCTAGCCCACACCTAGTAAGCTTGCTAACCTGATTATCATCGGGCACTTTGTTAAAGATGTTGCTGAAGTCAAGATATATCATATCTACAACATCTCACCATCTACCGGGAAGGTTACCCAATTTAAAAAAGAGAGAGAGAGAGAGAGAGAGGGTTGTGATTAGTCGGGCAGAAAATCCCTGTTGGTTTCCATTTATCACCACATTGTTTTCAAGGTGCTTGCACATACTCCGGGGTGCAGTTCACTGGGCCCTGGAGATTTGAACCCATTCAAAGTAATAGGGCATTCCTTGGTTATTTCTTTATCAATCTCAAGCTGCCACCTTGTCCCCTTTGCTTGCATTTCACATTGTGGAGGGCCACAGGCTGTCTTTGGGGGAAAGAGAGAGCTGAAGTAGGAATTGAGCAAAGGTTAGGCATGCCGCAGATTTCTTATCAGAGCCCCAAATGTGCAGAGGTGCCTACCTTGCCAAATATCTTTCCAGCTTTCAGTAAGCAGCTGAAGTTGGAATCTGGGTTCAAATATATGAGGCTGGAAGGGAACACGGTATGGGCTGTGTGTTCTTTGCAATATAGTACAGACGTCTTTAAAGGGAGTCACAGATAATAGTGGATAATATGGGAGAATAAATTAGCCAGCATATCTCAGTATGCCTACACCAAGAATAGACATTGCTGTCCATTAGTCATATGGCACCTCCCCAGCATTTCAAACCTCCTCCCTTCTGCCCAGATGATGGATCGGTCAGCTGCTGATTAAATTGTGTTTTGGCAAGGGGGAAGCTATCTTGTTGCAAGCACTTTTAACTCAGCCCAGCTCAGCAAATCAATCAGTGCACACTTTTCCATCATCATAAAACCATGATCTATGTACACAAGCTGTCACAGATGATATCTCCCTTCACTCAAACATTATAGGATGCATCTATGCCCCGGAGGGAACACCTGTCAGAGCTTTGGGTAGGGAAATAAAAAGGCAAGGCTGCTTGAAACACACTTTATCACAAAGGCATCCTTCCCCAGACATAATTGTGAAAGCAAAAGGCGGCGAGGGGGGGGCAAAGGATGCTCGTCTATCTTTCCCTGCCTTAACTAATACTCCCATCTGCCATATTCTCTGCA